GGGGCGGGGCGGGGCGATGATGTGTGCTCCACAGGCACGGGGCGCGCTCGCCTCGCTCCACGCGTAATCACGCGGACAGCTCCTCGCGCCGCATTCTTTTGCAAAAAAAGAGAGAGAGATAGAGAGAGAGAGGGAGTTATGGGGGAGTATTAAAAATTATTCGATCGCTGTACTGAACGTTTTTATTTCTTCTGGAAATGAAAATGGAAAATGAGACAGGTGGGCGATGACGCTTTGTATGAGTAGGGAGGGGAGTGATGTTTCGGGGTCACGGCAATGGCGAAGCAGACAGTCGCTCCTGGTACAACTAATTACGCTTCCTCTAACAAAACAAAATTTGAGGGTTTGCTGTTTTATTACCACCACCACGCTCCGGAAAAATTCATTTTTTTTTTTTTTGTGGGGAGAGGAACATTTTCATTAGATCAAGTTTGGAACTTCATGGTGTCGCATTGTCCCAGAATTGGTCTAAAATTGTCCAGCCGCTGCTCCCATTCCAAGAATTATAGGGGTGTTTGGTCTCTGTCACATGACCTACCTGCCTCTACAGAGGCTGTGTGCCGCTTAAGTACAGTTTTGGGCGGTGTAGTTGTAATGATCCGAAAATCGTTCATGCGATGAACGAAAGGTCTCCATATTATGACCGTTTTGGGGAATAAGATTCACAAGGGCGGCGTTCACGGCACTAAAAGTCGGCCTCTGCAACCTCTGTTCGTTCAGGCCTCCATGTCAGCCCTTCGCGCTTCGCGTGGAAGGTGTTCAAAGATGCCAGGTTGGAAGTCAACGTTATATATGCATGTCAGTTGACGATTTATTTTACTAGGCGATTATGGATTGTCCAGGAAATCCGTACGTCATCATACGCCGTTACGAACCCGCCAAGTTCAGGCTATTGCATTGCGAGGGATGCAAGCTCTCATAGCGCCTGATAGGTAGGCAAACATCTTGCCTCCAGTGCATGTATGTACTGCGGGCTGGCCTAACCCAAGTCTCGCAGGCGTCGAGCTCACGTAATGTGCTGAATTTATCTGAGGAAAAAGCGGACGCACCATCTGGAAGATGAACAATCTCACAGTTTTGAAACCGATTCGCAGCGACAGAACCACAGGTTGAAAATAAGTTATGGGAATGATTCAACGTAGTGTTATCTTATTTTTTCCACTTCCCGATCGCTTTATTGGTGAGCGATTAGCGATGCCTATATTACTCCGTCTATTGAAAAAAAACTTTTTCTGTGTGTCTGTCTGTCTGTCTGTCTGTCTGTCTGTCTGTCTGTCTGTCTGTCTGTCTGTCTGTCTGTCTGTCTGTCTGTCTGTGCGTCTGTCCGCACGTTAACTCGAGAACGAATTGAGCTAGCGACTTGAGATCATTTCTTTTCATTCACCAATTTTTAAAAGCCCGAAGAGCAAATATTGCTCCATAGAGGGCCGATACAGGTTTGTGGTGAACATGGTGGCTTGTTTTTCAGGGTCGTTTTGTTCCATAAAAAGGCAGATCGAGTTCAAAGATGAGCATTCTAGCTCAAAATTTTTCAAAAAGAAAAATCAAAAACAACAGGCCCCCCCAAAAAACGTTTTTAGAAAATATTTTCTTACGGTTTCGGAAGGGGTAACCCCTGAAAGTAGAGGCCTTCGGTGCGAAAATTTTGTCTGTTTTGCTCTGTCTCATACCGTTCAGGCGCTAGAGGATATTTTTGGCGAAATTGGGCGAATGTATGCTAGGTGCGTCACAGTGTAGCAGGGTTTCGTGAGATATCGCGAAGCCGCAAGACGTGGTCGGGCTCACATCTACCTTGTAGATTCCATCTGTAGAGAAGAGACGTAGGTATACGGTACCTACGCCCGATTTTCGATAACCGTCTTTCAATTTTCCCGCCAAGTGCAACTGTTGCTTTTGTATCGAAAGCGGCAATCGATTGTGCGCCGGTTGGCCGTCCTTTGTTTAGTTTTGTTGTTGTTGTTGCTGTTGTTGTCTGTCTTCTGCTTCTCATTGCCAACATTTGTTTGGATTTGGATTGTGATTCTAGAGTGAAAGTAGAGGTCAAATGAAATGAAAGTGGCCTTAACACTAAGTTCTTTGTAATGTTAATTGTCTCATGGATGCTATTGATGCGACCTGTTAAAACCTAAATAATTGCATACCTGCAGTTTCATATGACATTCCAGTGAAATGGAAACTGCTAGCTCATCTCTCAGTCCAGAGAGTCTTCTTGGACTTGCAAAATATGCAATTGAACTATTTAATCCTAGTCACAAATTAGCTACACACAACCTAGAAGAAATATTTTATGCTTTCAAACATGACTTTCGAACCACTTACACTCGTTTGAAATGTGTGGCTGTTCCTCAGCAAGTTATTCACAGCCTCATTTCGCTTCCTTCTTGCTGTGATACTAACATAGACAAAGAGACGTATGCTGTTGTCGGTTTAAAAGCAGCAACAATGCTTGGGATACCTGTTGGAGGATCAAGTCTAGGATTTGTATCTAAGTGTGTTTGCCCCTTAGCGTCACGTAGTGACTGCAGTTCCAGCTGCAAACCATTCAATCAACTTCCTAAAATCTATTCTCTTCAAATTGTGTCAAATCGTAACATTCCGCCTCATCAAATTCTAGTCAATGAAACTGTCTATCATAATATTAAGACTACTCTATTTGGTTCCCTCTCTGATATGGAAGGAAGATTAATTTTATGTGTGAGACGCTCAGACCAAATTTTCAGGGGGTCAAAGTTCGTACTTAGACATGCCACCAAAGCTGTAGTTTCCTGTGTTGAGCAGCCACAAGCAATAGATAATGGTATTTTGTCTGCATGTCTTACTGGTTATTTTCAAGTACCTCATCATCTGCACAAGGGTGATATTTTTAAAGTTGAGCTTTCCAAACATGCCCCAGAAGTCACTCTAGCACCTGGAAAATTTGCTATGAAGGATGTTTATTTTTTAGTTAAAAGTATTGATGGAGAAAGTTATGATGGTGTTCGAAATTCTGGTGAAAGTTTTGGCTTCCTCATCGCCAAAGGGGAAACTACTCTTGTCCAAGATATAAATGTCCACTGCTTTCTCCCAAGCAGTACATTATTGAGTATTTCTACTCTAAGTTATCCCATACCAAAATATCCTGAAGGTCTTAAAAAAGAATATGACAAGTTGATAAAAGCTACACTACCATTTCTCAAGGGTACTTCTCGAGGTAAAGTCATTTGTGAGCAGCAGCCTTTTGGTGTTTTACTTATCTCCTTGTGCTTTAATTTGAATTCATACTTTTCTGTTTTTTTCCTTTCTTGTAAAGGCTTGAAGCCTGCTTTTTTAATAACCGGACCAACAGGCTGTGGTAAGAGAAGCCTTGTATCAAGTGCAGCAGAACAGCTAGGAATGAACTTTTGGGCGATAGATAGTGCTGAAATTCGGGGAGGTACACCAGGCCAAACTGTGGGTAAATTAAAGGCAGTGCTGTCCAAAGCGAAGCAATACGTCCCCTGTATTGTACTACTTTCCAATGTTCAAGTAAGTCTGGTGAAGCATTGAAATAATTTCCTCATCTAGTTAATTAGTAATGTTCATTTTTCTCTTTTCTTCCAGATTCTTTGTAAAGACCAAGATGGTCATGATGACTTTCGAGTTCTTGAAGAATTTGGGGAGCAGCTTTCTAATTTCAAAAATGCAAAACTACCAATTGTTGTTTTTGGAACTGCTGAATCTTCAACAGATCTCAGCTCTGTTTTTGCAAGATCATTCCTTTTAGAAATGCAGATACCTGCTTTGGAGAAGGCAGAAAGGAAGATACAATTACTTCAAATTATGGCTCAGTACAAAACCAGCACAACAGAGATTTGCTTAGAGGAGGTTGCCTCACGCTCCTCTGGATTTTTGCTTGGTGACCTAAATGAACTTGTATCACTTGCCCTGAGGTAAAATACCAAACCTTTACAATTAACTTTTTTTTTTTTTTTTTTTTAAACCAAAGTAGCACTCCTTGTTTGGTCACTTCCGAATATTTACTTTGTTTCTTAGGAACAGGATGTGCAATGAAACTGTTGTTGGTGAATCATCAACAATTGGTGGCACCTCTACAACTGTTTTGACCAATGATAACTTTAGTTGGGCCTTAGGTAACAGAGTTAGTCTTTTTTTGAAATTTCTTGGATATAGAAAACTCTTAAAACACATTTTTTGAAAGTTAATATTTATTTTCCAAGATAAGATGCAGACTGCGTATGCTGGATCCATTGGAGCCCCCAAAATACCATCAGTGAAGTGGAATGATGTTGGGGGATTAGAAAATGTGAAGAAGGACATACTTCAAACTGTAACTATGCCTCTCAAACATCCTGAACTAACTGCTGGAGGTCTTGGTCGTTCAGGTCTGATTGAATCCAAATCACTTTTGAAACTGATTTTGCTTAACTATTATGTGAACATATTCTCATTCTGTTTTTCCTATCTCTTTCCTGTTAAATCATAGGCATTTTGTTGTACGGACCACCAGGAACTGGGAAAACTTTACTTGCAAAAGCTGTTGCGACTGAATGCAATCTAAATTTCCTCTCAGTGAAAGGTCCTGAGCTATTAAATATGTATGTTGGGCAGAGTGAAGCTAATGTTAGAGAAAGTGAGTTATTTTCTATTTACCTACAGTGATGTAAAACTTCTGGCTCCATACTCATTACATTTTTTCTGTCAGTTTTTGAAAGAGCAAGAGAGGCTTCTCCATGCATCATATTTTTTGATGAGCTTGATGCTCTAGCCCCTAATAGAGGGAAAAGTGGTGATTCTGGGGGGGTGATGGACAGGTTTGTATTTCTTTGCATTTACCGTGTCTTCTTGTCTTAACTTCATCAAATTATTTTATTAATTGATACTTATTTAATAGGGTTGTTTCTCAACTTCTCTCGGAAATGGATGGTCTTAATAAGTCTGCCCTTCTTTTTGTAATCGGTGCTACAAATCGACCAGACCTCATTGATCCTGCTCTTTTGCGCCCTGGAAGGTTATTAAAGGAGAACAGAATTTTAAAAACCTTTGTCACGATTCCCGTTTAATCATACTGACTCTTTGTTAATAGGTTTGATAAGCTGTTGTATGTCGGAGCCTATGAAGATCCTAATTCAAAATTTAGTGTGTTGTCAGCACTCACCAGAAAGTACGCATTTTTTTTGTAAAAAGCTGTAAGCACTAAGATCTGCACAAAGATGCCAAATTTCACATAATTCTCTTTTTTTCATGAAAGGTTCAAATTATCATCAGATGTAGATTTAAAAGCAGTATCTGAGAGGTTGCCTGCAGAGGTGACCGGTGCAGATATGTACGCTGTCTGCTCAGGGGCGTGGCTTGGGGCTGTGCGTCGAGTTATTGAAACAAATCAGAAAGGTGTGTTGTTGATATTAATCTGAATGCATTCTTTACTTGTTTTATCCCAGCACGTTAAAAATTATTATTTCTTGCAGATTCCAAAACTATCCCATCTGAAGTAGAGGTTAATCAGGAGGATTTCTTTGAGGCTGTTTCTAATACAAACCCCTCAGTTAGTGCAGAAGACATGTTGTACTTTAAAGGACTTCAAAGACAAATGTCTGGAGTCCAAGCCTAGTATAAATATATGGGTTTTTATCTTGGTAAAAACTTTGTTTTTGTCTGAGCGTGCCCCTTTTCATGTCTCCTACACAAAATAATTTAATTATGTGGCATTTTCTGTGTGATCAATTTGATTAAAATATTCTCTTAGCAAAGGCAAACTAAACGTAAGTCCTCATAACAGACTTTCACTTTAATTCAACAGCAAATTTAAAACTAATTGATAACATTAATAGTTGATTTCCCTTTAAAAAAAAATACCTAAGATTGTAAAGGTTTTAGCTTGTGTCACAATGAATTTTTGAAACAGAAATTTCTAACAAGTAAAATATTAAGATCTAGATAAGCACCAGGCACAGATGAAAAATGTCATCATGTGTTACATTTGATCTCAACACCCTTCTTGATATGACACTTAGGAATTCATTATGGCACTCTTAAAAGAGAATTGAACACAAAACAACACGTGGTGGTCAGTGGTTTGATCTCAGATAATAATTTTAATTTGAAAACCAATCGTTTTCTACTTGTGGCTCAATGATTAAACTGGCAAAGGTTTATTCTCTTGGTCTTTAGAGAAAACCACATAAATCAAATGAATCAGCTAGTAATTATAATGGCCTTTTTCATCCAGAAATAACATTGTACAATAAAAAAATAAATAACACAGCAACAACAAGAAAAAATATCTATGTAGAAAAATGTACACATTTGGCAAGAAAAAAATGCCTCAGTTCTCATTTTGGTGCCAATAATAAACCATCTCATATGAAGAAACACTTACAACTACTGTCACAATATATTTTTTTCCCCTGGCACCCCTGTTTCTGGCACTTGCGAGTAGACTAGTACCCATCGGGGGAGTATAGTCCCCCCTGCTAAAAGAACCCTGGGTTGGTGTGCTCGATGATGCACCGCTTGCAGTACTTCTTGACGGCGCGGTAGCCCTCGAGCGAGATCTGGCAGTCCTGGATGTTTAGCTGCTGCAGCCCGCGACAGTAGTAGGCGATGCACTGCACCCCGCGGTCCGTGACCAGGTCGCAGGCGCGCACGCTCAGCTTCTTGAGGTTGGGGCAGCTCTCGGCGAGCGCGCGCAAGCCGGCGTCCGACACGTCGCACTTGCCGATGTCGAGCGCCCGGAGCCGCGGGCAGGAGCGCGCCAGCACCGTGATGGCGTCATCGCTCACCGCCTCGCAGCCGCGCGCGTTCAGGTACCTGCCAACAGGGGAGGTACTCCGTCAGGTACATGGCTACAAGGGGCACTTCGCTCATGAGAAATTAAAAAGAAACAGCGTACGACATCAAAAACAAACAGGAAAGGGCAGAAAAAATTTAGAGATAAAAACAACGAGTAAAATTAAGGGAAAAACAGAAAAATTGGTGTACGTTTGAATTTGTAGTGAGGTACCCTCTGTGAGGTACCCCTCGCGGTAAGCCTCGAGGTACCCTGTGAGGTACCCCTCAAAGTACCCCCCTCGACCTCGAGGCGTGGTTCTTTTCATGGCACTTTCTGCTTGCCCGCATTTGGGACTTCCCCTTTCCTTCCGTACCTGAGTTTGTAGCAGCGTGTGAGGTAAGTACCCCTTAAAGTATGTAAGCC